AAGAATGGTCGAGTGGCGGAATCCTCCTGGCTCTCCGAGGGTTGTCTTTATTCCCTGTGATCGCGGCCATCCACCTCTCCAGTGTGGCATCGTCGACTGCTTCTGGGTGGACCCGAGTTTCATCCTCGGTTCCACAGTACAACCACATACAATGGCCTCGGTACTGAAGTGGTTGGATGCGCTGCCTAAGGAAGACCTCCAGAAGGTCCATACCCGTCACTCCTTCCCGAACTAGCTGGACTACATGCTCCATCAACATCTTCACTTGGGCTTTCTCCTCGGGGAGCACCTTCAGAGAAGAGGGCTTGTTCACTCGGTCCACGGAAAACGGAGGTAGACCAGTCGACTGCCCCGGCGTCGACTCGTCTTGGTAATAGAACCAAGTCGACTGCCACCCTCTGACCGACTCAGGAAGAGTCATGGCCGGAAAAGTACTCTTTCTCCTCATCTGAATCCCAAGACCCCCACACATCTGAATAACCTTAGTCCTATCGTCATCCGGACTCGCCTTTTTCACAGTTTGCGAGCGGCAAGTGAATATGTGCTTAAAGAGACCCCAATGCGGTCGACAGCCCAGGAAGTTCTCGCACATGGACACGAAGGCAGCAAGGTAGGCGATGGAGTTTGGATTGAAATGGTGAAGTTGCGCCCCAAAGAAATTCAAGAAACCACGGAAGAAAACACTCGGAGGCAAGGAGAATCCACGGTCGACGTGAGTAGCCAGAAGGACGCACTCACCCTCCTGCGGTTGTGGTTGCCACTCGTTCCCCGGGAGCCTCACCGCCCCGTGAGGGATCAAGCCCTCGTTGGCCATCTCAGTGAGATCCGTCTCGGTGATGGTCGAGCGGATCCAATCCCCTTGTACCCAGCCATGCGGCAGGCGGGACCTGGACGAGGATCCGCCCCGACTGGGCGCTCGCCCTTTCGCCTTCCCCGTCGCCGTCGCCTTCTTCGCGCGCTCCAAAGCCGCCGTCTTCTCCTTCACCATTGTCGCTGACGAAGCGCACGAGGAGTGGATAGGCAGGGGCGAGAACAGGCGCGGCGGGCGGAGAGGAGGAGGACGGGAGGAAGAATGGAGAGATACTATTCAAAAACCCTCGCCGGGCGCATTTTATAAGGACACTTCCGAGTGGATGAGAAGTGGGCCCAGGCAATCCAATCACATCCCGAAACAGTCGCGCGCACGCGGTACGTGACGAAAAAGGCGGCGCGGGAATCGAGGCGTCTATGCCCTATCCCATCCGAGCGCCGCGGTCCGCCCCGCTTCGCGCGCTTCCCAAAATTCGGATCCCACAAAATCCGCTAACAGCAGATCAATTTGTCAGACTAGAGATTTCCTGCGATCCGTCGCTCGGAAGTTTACTAAGTTCAAAAGTTCACTCGACGGGAGAAGAATGGATCAAGGCGACTGAAAGAAAAGTTGCTGTTATCAACAAAAAGATTATTGGTCCAAGATGATGCATGTTCAGAACACAAAAGCAAGTCGGAAATATCATCAATTCCTTTCTCATTCAAACCTCGATCCATTTGGGGGCTAATGATGAAGTCATGTACCTAGGGTAGGGTCACAGACCTGTCCTAAGTACCCTTCCCAAGGACACCCTCAGAAGAAACTGCATTCCAGTCGACCAGGAGGGACTTCACTCGACGGACTCGAAGGACTCGACCATGAAGACTCACTCGACCACCAGGAGATCAAGAGCCACTCTGCATCCAAACGGTCTGTAATTAAGTAGTCTTTATGGCATTTAAGACACTTTATGTAAGGCGTTACCAGTAACGCCTAGCCTTAATGTACTTTAAACCCTGCATAACTGAGGGCCGGAGGGGTCTGGCAGACACTATATAAGCCACCCCCTCCTCTGTGTAAAGGGTTCGCACCCTTGTAATCCATACACACATAACCCACTCGACCGCCTCAGGGCTCCGAGACGTAGGGCTGTTACTTCTTCCGAGAAGGGCCTGAACTCGTACATCTCTTGTGTTTACAACTGCTCCATAGCTAGGATCTTGCCTCTCCATACCTACCCCCCATTCTACTGTCAGACTTAGAACCACGACACCCACTTCGTGGTTAGGGAGGCGACGTGCGACCAGAGAGGCGAGGGATGTGGGCGCCGCCGGGCCTCTGGATCGCACGCGGCCGCGTTCGCCGGAGCCCACACCGCGTGCGCCCACTTTGTGGTTAGGGAGGAGACCGGTGTGGCCGGAGAGGAGGGGGAGCGGGGATCCTTCGCCGGTGGCCGCCCACGCTCGAGGGAGGGGTGTGCAGCGGGGAACCCTAGGCAGAAGATCGAGAGGCGGCGGCGAAGACCTGGAGCGGCGCCGGCTTTGATGAGCGAGGGCGGCGGTGAAGGGATGGAGCGGCGGCAGCGACGAACGAGGGCGGCGGCGAAGGGATGGAGCGGCGGTTGCGGCGAACGAGGGCGGCGGCGATGGAGCGGTGGCGGCAGCGAACGAGGGCAGAGAGTCGTGCGTGAGAGTGGTTCTCGCTCGAGGGTGGGAGGCCTCGCTAGTACGTGCGTGCGATTGGTTTGGGGTTTTTTTCGCTAGTTAATTTTCGTAGGTTTTTTATCGTAGATTTTTTTCGTTCGCTTTTTTTGGGTGCGACGGGAGGATAGCAACTGGACTGCGTGGGGGATAGGTACTGGTTTTTTTCGGTTCGTGGCGGCTCAGCGTGAGGTGGGAGGAGGTACCAAAGAAGTACCAAAAAAGACCGGGTGAGGTGGGACGGAAATAAAACCCGGAACGCGACCTACCAACTGAGACATTAGGAGTAGAGATATAGGCTTAGGTAGTGAATCCATATATTTACATAAACTCCTACCATTCTATTGTCAAAATTGACGGGCACGGTAACATGCGCCATCAATGGTCTAGTAGTGTTATATAGGGTAACTCCACCTCCTTCCTCTCCACTAATTGAGTTAACTTCACCCTTTCTCTGCGTTGCTTCAGGATGCTCGCATTTGGATTCGCTTATATTCTTCATAATGCCGACCGGGAAGCCAAAGAGTACTACGCTTTTAGATGAGAAAAAGAACATTTTTCAAATCAATCCTAGAAACATCAATACCCATTTCAAGAGCTCTCTTAGTTATATCATCATCATCATCATCATCAAGTACAACAAAAGAATTACAAGTTGAAATAGTTTTTATACCTTGCAGATTTTTCTTCATTGCCGCATCTGTAATTTTATCAGAGATATTTTTCCCAGATACGCCCAGCTCCTGAATCCTGCTACTAGTCCTGATCAAAGGATCAGCAACGTTCACGAGCTTTCCTTTTTCCCATCTCAATATCAGCAGCTTTACCCGTGTTATAAGGAAAATTATGAATGAATAGCCAATATATTTTTCTTTCCTTCAGCAGCATCCCCATATGATTTTCTTGCATCTCTCATAAATCCATCGGGAGCAGAATTAACATTTCTATTCGAAAAGTCCTATTAGGTCTATGCCTCTTAGGAGTTTGGGGATTTTTGTCTCCATTATCAGCACCTTTTTGTGCCTCATTCCCATCACATCCACAACCACTCTCCCTTGAGGAATTTCTCTAGTAAACTTGAGGTCGTAAAACTTGCCACCGATATTAACATGCGACACCGCAGGGGGAACCAGTGCGCATCCAAGCAGCAAATTTTTATCCTGACATATTCCACATTCTTGAGACTGAATTTTTCCACAGCCAATGCCCTGCCTGCAAAGGACACAGTAGTGAAATTTCTATTATCCCCAGATATATATTCCTTTTACTTGAAACCAGGCCACATCCAAATCACCCACAGATCCATATATATCTAGGGAACCAGTGGGCTACCTGAATGACAACACCTCTACCTCCATACTGCATTGAGACGTGACCAAAATGTACCCACAAAGGGAGCGGCAACTTCCCAAGGTTGGGGTCCGTATGATTTTCTTCCCCATAGACAGACAGACAGACATGGCAGTTCTCAGGAACAAAAGAAGAGGAGAAACCCTATCAACACTACGGCGAGCACCGTTGCCCATATACTGCTTGCCGCGAGCACGGGGAGATTCATACCTCTATTGCTATAGCACACCCAACCAGATGTTTCTTGGTTCAGATACATAGCAAACACTCAGATCATACACCGAGCAAACTACTGAGACCTGGCATGCATGTGTTCTTCAGATTACAGAATGATGTTTTCTAACAAATTGCTGCATATTGTTAAACAAAAAACCTAATTTATTGGCGCTTTACATGATGTATCACCCTGAGTTAAGTTTATAGCATTGGCAATCAGATTATCCAAAGCTTCTATGAAATATATATATAGCACTTGCTGGGTGCAGAGTCTGCTTGTTAGATTTGAACAGATAGTGAATGCATCAGTATTTTGTAAACACTGTCATCAATACTCCTTCCGTTCTTTTTTATAAGACGTTTTGGACAGCTGACATTGAACTGTGTTTGGGTGCTGTTTTGGACACTCCAAACTAATGCCTAAACAAGAGAACAAAACACTCGTTCAAAATAGAAAAATCACGTCAGACTTGAAACAGAGACTGATAAATGCAACAACCAACAGACATGTATAGCTTTGCTGCTGTAAAAAATAATAATTCAAAATCATCACAAACATAGCAGAAGGGCAGCAAAGGTCGATTGATGCAGGCAGGTACACACAACCAGGTGAGCTGCTCCTTGGTTCAGATAATACATGGCAAACAATCTCAAATAAGTCACACTTAAATATAGATGAATCTACATGGAAGCAACTTGCCATGTAGATGCGCTCACCAAAACCACACACATAAATGCAGCCTGTGGATGCACACAGGCAATCGCATATATACCACAAACACATGCGTTGGCCAGGTCTGTGTACGCACGCACAGACCTGTCCGCTTCTTATTTCAAAGCAATAACAAAGGATGAGCTCGTACACAAGGCATTGGCGATAGCAGTCCAAGCAAGCACACAAGCAAACCATATCCATGTTCCACCACCACCACCAGCAGCAGAGTTCACCTAGGCGACGTACGTACATCAGAGACGGAGAAACAAGATCGTGAGTGACTGAAACTGAATGCATGCAAACAAGAGTAGTGGCTGAACTAATAAAAGATGGATTCAGCAATATGCATATACACATATGATGTACCTGAGGACGGAAACCCTGGGCAGCTTCTCCTTGTAGTAGCGTGAGTGGACCAGTGCCTCGAAGTGGTCAGGACGGTGGTCCGCGTCCCACTCCAGAGCATCCCACACGTCCTTCTCGATCTCGACGGCCGGCTTCTTCTCGCCTTGGCCACGGGCACCCACGGATGGCAGCCTGCGCAGGCCCCAGCATCCCCTGATCTTGATGCTCTTGAGTGCAGGTGCCTCCATCTTGACGTCACATATCTGCTGCAGCTTCGGGAGGTCGTGTAGGTGGATGCTAGTCAACTTTGGGAATGATTCCTCGTAGACTTTATCTGGCTTCAGGAAGGGTGAATTATAGGTGTCCTTATCTTGCCGATTACATATGAAGACGTGGCTGAGGTCGCCACAGTGGATGATATGGAGGGTCTCCAAACTTGGCAAGTTGGTGAACCACCCTGCAAGCACGACCTGTAGCCTGGTGCAGGAGCGCAGGTGTATGTGCTGCAGATTCTCGAATCGAGCACTGTTGACCGACCTTGTACTCCAAATCCAGCGGGCCATTAGGAGATGTGATGCCCAGAAGGTCTCCAATTTAGAAAAAACATAGGAATCCGAAAAGATGCCGGTATCCAAGTTCGGGCACCTCTCCATGCAGCACCACCTAAGGCTCCACCCATAGTGTCCAGGTAGAATAGCTGGTACCGAGATATCATGCACATGCAGGGATTCCGCATAATACCCTATCAGTTGGCCTAGTGCATTATCCCCTTCTAGTTCCGTCTCCACGTAGAAGCTCCCTTCAGCAATCTCTACGTGTCGATCAGACTTTGTAGTAGGAGGTTGTGGAAAGGCCTGCATCGGGGCAGTGCCAACCATCCCAAGGACATCATTGTACCGGCCTGCTGGAGTAAGTTGTGGGCCCTCTTGATCACTGGGGTATATCTTATCCTTGCTGGTTGCTTCAAATTGAACAACCCGATGAGACATAGGCAAGGAGGTGACATGGATACTAAAATAAGTAGTACCCTTAGTTGACATGTCCAAAAAGGAGCGAGCAAGCCTCGCATCCACAACAACCGCATGCACTTGCAGCTGGAAGGATTTGGTTTTGTTGAATGATGGTCGAGGACACACGATTCCAGATCGTGTGTCTATGCACATCAACTCCAGATCAGGAACACTCTCGCGCCAAAAAGGGCATCCTATTAGAAACAGTCGCTTGAGCCTTGGGATTTGCACCACCATAGTCTCGAAGTCAAGTATCTTGATTGATGTTCCAGAGAGGTCCAATTCCACCAGGTTGGGTAGCCAACACAAGAACAAATTCTCCAATTGTGTGCAGCCTGCTAAGGAGATCTTGTATATTCTGACATCCTTATTATCAGTTCTGCTGGATGGACAAAACTGTTTTGGAGGTAGCTCAACAGCTTGTGTCCATTGAGAAGCTGGCCCATATCCATTAAAGCTAACGGATTCGAGGGAGGGAGGAAGCCCACCAATGCTTTCCAGTTCATCACAACCATCAAGTACAAGCAACCGGAGGCCACTTGCCTTTGATAGGCTTGGTGGAAGAATTTTCATGTCACAATTGCCTGACAAGTCAAGTATTTCCATACTTTCCTTATCTATGAAGTAATTGTCGACATCCTCAGATGTCTCCCATGGACTTGTTGGTTTGATTATTCGTAGCCTCTGGAGGTTAGGTAACCGCTGATGTAGGTGAGCTATGTACTGCCAGCCCATGACTCCCTCTATATTTAGCTCTCTGATGTTAGTCATGAGATCCATCTTTTCTGGACAAAAGATCTCATTCCAGTTTGTGTAACGTAGGTCCAGCACCCGTAGGCTACACAAACATAACCACTCTGTATTATGTTCTCCTTCAACTGTTTTGTCATCTGTACAGTGGTCCAGTCCAAGGAATCTTAGGCCATGACACTTCAGGAAAGAAGGTGAAGCAAAATTGAAGGCACAACAACAGAGAATCAGCACACCAAGCTTGCTGCAATGATCAAAAAATCCATTTGGTAAAGCTCGTGGGTGATCAGATGTTTCAAATGCCAAGAAGAAAGATGATGTAGCTGCAGGTATTGCCCTCATACCATGTACTTTTTTGTTCCTCGATGTGACCGAAATCCAATGGTATGGGCCTTCTTCGTAGACATCACCATCTCTAATTACTAGAAAAGTAGTATCCTTTTTTAGAAAAGGAGGCTCCAATTGTCCTTCTTCAAAAGCATCATTATCTTCAATTACCAGAGAAGGGGACTCTGAATGCTTTTTAAGAACAAGATCAAGCAGAGAAGCATCACACTTCCAATTTATTGCTCGTTGCAATGCATTACTACTACCCCTTGCTTGGTCCACTCGTATGATTGTATCGTATATCCAATAGTTGGAAGCATGAGAAGCCCAACCAAAATTAGTGGCCGTGTGGAAATTATAGTGCACGAATAACTCATAGAGACAGCAATCTGCAACAATTGTTGGGTCAATGTCAGTCATACATGGGTTGCGAGCAACTACCGTAGCAGCTTCTTGATGCAGCAATCCACGAAACTGTGAGCTCGTCAATTCTTTGATAGAACAATGAAGGAAAACCTCTGTCCATCTTAGCTTGTTTGCTACCTCAGAAGGGTCGCGATGCATGGACAGGGAGCTTCTGCTGAATGTCCATATCATCATGTTGTTGCAATATTCTGTTAGAGGAATGCCCATGGAACATACGTCCACCTCAGCATCACCCCCATTAATAAAAATCATCATAAATCTGTTATCCCTCACGGTTCGATCAATCATTTGACTAACAGTATCTATCTCATGTCTCAGGCTTTCATCATACCCCAAAAAATCATCATATTCATCTTGCTTATCTAGAATAGCCAGTACAGAACAATCAAGTTGCAGCTCCTCTGCAATCGCCCTCTGCACTCCTCTTCTATTTTTCCACTCTGAGCAATCTATAAAAATTATTTTGTCAAAGCATAGTCTCGGAGTGGTTTTCTTCGATGGAAGTGCTGCAGCTAAGGATCTAAGAACAGCCGAAGCTCCGAATCCATTCCAACCGTCAAAGTACATGACCCTGATTTTGGGCGTCAACTGAATAGCATCTAATATCTCCCTTGTGGCGCCGTCAACATCTTTGCTACAGCACGGCTGAAATAAAATGTGTTAGTAAGTTACTCCCTCTGTTCCTAAATATAAGACATTTTAGAGATTCCAATATGAACTACATACGGAGCAAAATGACTGAATCTACACTAAAATATGTCTATATATATTTGTATGTTAGTCCGTATTGAAATCTCTAAAAGGAATTATATTTTTAGAAATGGAGTGAGTAGAACATAGCCCGCAAAAGAAAAGTTAGAATGCCTTTGGTAGTTGCAACACTAGTTTAACATGTACTGATAATGAATCTCTGAACAAGGAATTGGTAGTCGCAGGCGATATACATGGATCAGTCCTGTTTTCTTATCATGTTGGCATTGTCTTTAAAGACACTAGATGATACCCCGCACATCATTGCAGAAATATTTTGCAACAATATTTTAATGTGATTCGTTGTATGAAACATGCATATTTAAAGGAATGATACAAAAAGCTAAAACTAAAAATACATATAATTTATTATGTTTGATTACTATATAGTTGTAAAATGTTTATTAAATATATATGGCATAATAGAATGAAAATTCTCATGTATGTTTACATGTTGAGATGAGTGTTTTCCATGCATATCAGGATGAAGTGGCATGCTTGGATATTGAGAGACATATGGTAGTGTGGGTGAGCCTTTTCTCACGCATGTTTGCCATGATGTGACATGAAGTGACTTGCTTGAATGTTATGGTAGTGGGGGTGGGCCTTTTCTCATGCATTTAGTGTGATGATGTGGCATGCTTGCACGTTGAGAGAAATAGTTAATGGGGGCTAACTATTTAGATATTGAAAATTAACTGAGTTTGTTGAGCTATCGTTTGTCAAAATAGTTGAGCAAAAAGTTTGGCGTGCCACTTGCAGAAGATAAACTTCTAGGATCAAAGAAACCAACAAATTTGCATCACCAATTCACTTTCTATTCAAAATACAACCAGTGAGTGCAACAGAAACGACAACATGAACTATGGGATATGAGATCAGTCCTGAATCATTGCATGACGAACCGGAAGAGCCTCGCGCCGCCACCCCCGCAGGTGACTCGGGCGCAAACCCCGCTACCATACACCAACCTCTCCTCCGCCTTTCCTCACCCACCATGGCCGACAAGTGCTATCGAGAAAAGTTGCATGGTGTCGGCGGTGGCGGGCCTTGCCTCGCCCGCTCGCATGGCAGGATGCGCGGGGTAGTTTCACCAGGCGTTGGTGCGGTTAGAGAGGCAAGTGGTCGCGGTCTAGCTGGCGCTGACCCAAGTGCCAGACGGGCATAGAGACGCGCGTGTGGTAAGCGCAAGCACCACGTCCCTCCCCCCCACATGTTAATCTCGCTGCCGCCGCAGTGTCGAGGGTCCTCCGGCTGTCTCCTACGTAGACGACAGTTTGGGAACCTAGGCAGTGGCCCATGGGTTTCTAGGTGGTGGCGATTGTCTGCGGCCATGCGGATGGTTTGGCGGTCAGGTCTGATGCTGGGTGGTCGCTCAGCCTGGACGGCACGAGCGGGCTTTCCGGCCCGCTCGTGGCCCGTTTAGGACCGGCCCGTACGGTCCAGGCCCGATAGAAAAGTGTGCCGGTCCGAGCCCAGAAAAGCAGACCGAAAAAAGTTCGGTCCGGTCCGGTTTTTAACCGGGCCGACCGAGTGGACCGATGGCGCAAGGCCCAGCCCATCTAATGTAACAGATCGATAGAGGCCCTGCCGAGCACCCCTTCCCCTCGTTCCATCCCCTCCCTCCTCGCTCGATTCCTCCCCCTCCTTACAAACAGAGGCGCCTCCTCCTTTGCTCTATCCCTAACCCTAACCCAAGGCGACGACGCCGTTGCCCGCGGCTCTCCCTTCACCGACGGCGTCATCTCTTCCGAGTCCGAGCTGGAGGAGCACATCTACGTCGGGGAGGCAGCAAGGCCAGCACACCGTCGGTTCGTCCTTCCCTGGTTCCTCACCGAGCGCCACGAAGAGGAAAAGGTAATGTGTCCCTAACCTGTAACCCTCGGCCCTCGCCAAACTGAGATGATTCAGAGAAACTTAGATAAGAGATCTGGAGATGTAGTGTTTGGTCAGGAGATAATGGTGATTGGTGAAGGAGAAGGGGGATGAGAGGGGAATTGTGTGATGCTGGTGTTCATTCTCGAACCTGATTTTTCAGCTAAATTCTTAGACACCAGCAGCCGCAGGTTCGAGAATGCCGCTAGTGATCCCCTGGTGCTGCTGTTTTTTTAGATAATGGTCAGGATTCAGGAGATAATTATGTTCATTTTCACTAGTAGTAGATGATTTTCTATGCTACAAAAGCCTGTTCCTGTTCATTTTGTATGATGCAACCTGATTTTGTGCGTATTTTGTTCATACTCGTTCCCTGTGATGTGTACCATGGTCTGAGATATTTGCTGTTTTTGTAACCTGATAATCTGAGTTATGTGCTGTGTTTTGTAGATAATGGTGAAGGAGAAGGGGAATGAGAAGGGAAAGGGTGCTGGTAAGGAGAATGCGAAGGCGAAGGCAAAGGAGAAAAGCGTGAATTACCTAATTAGACAAGATTCGGCGTTGCCTCCGCCGGTTCCGAGGAAGAAGAGGAAGCCTAAGGTGCAGATTAAGAAGGCGAAAGACTTTCCCAATGCCCCAACGGGAGAGTTGATTTGTAGGTTAAAAAAACACCATCCACCTCCGAGGCGTCTCCCCGACCGCACCGGTGCCGGCGTGCGTGCCGCGGAAGCCGCTGCCTCTACTATTGTAAGATTGCTTTACTTGATGCTTGATGTAGCCATATTTCCATATAACCATATAGGTGATGCTTGATGCTTATTTGTGTGCTCATGTGTGTTAGGTGGTAGATGACGAGGAGAAGGAGGATGAGGACGAGGACGAGGACGTGGACATGGATGAGG